GACTCGAATCAATCTTCCTTTCTTCAACCTTAGATTTAGGTTCGTGGACTCGTTCTTAAATAGAAGGAAACTAGATCTGACTCTAGTTGATTGAAGATTGCATCATCGAGGTACTTGAAGCTACAATGGGATTCTTCCAAGTCTTTGAGGATTCGAGACAAAGGGTTTCTCGTGAGGTTTAAGGTATTTCGATCCATCTCTATCTTTACATTGAGAGCATTAATGGGACAATACTTCCATATTATTTGAACCTTGGACTAGATTCATATCACTACACTTCATTAAATATTATAACAGTAAGAACAGTTAATAAACAATTAAACAATAAAAACACTTATAATAGCAAGACTAGCAGCAATGTTTATAGTTAAATCAGACTTTAGAATGAGATTTTGGAGGTGGAGTGTTTGGGTTTGATAATTATATATACTTGGATTATATTGTAAATATGCAAATATATATATATATATATATATATATATATATATATATAATAAGGGTCAAATAGACCATCGAACTACACATGTAATTGCAATTAGGCTATTGAACTAAAAACAAATACAATTGGGTCCCTATACAACGCAAAATGATGCAATTGAGCAAAAAATGATTTGTTTACTTGTTTGCTTGCTGATGTGGATGTTACCATATTAAAATAATAATTTTTTTATTTTATTTTAATAATTTAAAGTAACAAAAAAAAAACAAAAAAGGTTTTCTGATTCGTCTCTAGGCTGTCGGAGACGAAGAACCAGTCTTCATCTCCTGCATCCTAGAGATGAAGAGGTCCCTTCGTCTCCGACCTGACTTAATTGCATAGTTTTGCGTTGTTCAGGGGTCCAATTGCATTTTTTTTTTGAGTTTAATGGTCTAATTGCATTTTTGTGTGTCGTTCGATGGCCTATTTGACCCTTTTTCCTATATATATGTATGTATGTATGTATGTATGTATATAAATAGGCTAGGCCTATAAGCCTGAAGACCGAGCTTGGTATATATGGATCTGACCTGTTTAGTTTAACAAGCTTTGTTTCTAATAATTTCTCCCTTTTTTATGATGCCAAAACCTATATCCATATTACGAGGTTGTTTTTAAACATGAATTGATTTTTCATTACAATTTGGCCCATAATCAGAGTTTGAGAAATTTATCTAATGACATAAACTACTTAATAAACTAAGGAACACTATGATACACACACTGAAAATTTTCATTAATATCTCAAAAATAATACAAGTACATTCAATGCACAAAAAAAAACATAAATAAATAACCTTTACAAGAATTTTGATTCTTCAATTTCAGTCTATGCTGCTCTTGAAACATCCCGTGTTACGGCCTCCATACCCTGACTAAATATGAAATTAGTTCTGTTAACATATAATTAAAAAGGATTTAATTAGACTAGAATTCCCATTAATTAATTAGTATGGCCCACAATGGATCATGGACCCTTATCCCTAACCAAGTCTTTAATTCTACTAGGAATAGGAAAGATGAGCCTTTACCATTCAAATCCTAGTTAGGACTCCTGAATCCATATATAGGGGATTAGAGAGCATTTAGAAACCTACCACAATTAATTTTGCCACGCGAGGTATTCCCCGAGGAAGCCTAGCAAAGGAATTCCCCACCAACGAACTTAGAGGAATCTATCGGAGGGAGATCTTAGAGAAAAACCTTAGTAGCCAATGATATTGATTAGGGCTAAGAGGTAACGCATGTCTTACAAAACCTATTTTCCTTGCTATATCTTCATTATTGGCTCCTTTGATGTGTGATTCTGTGATTGAGTCTTGATAGAGCTTTGCCTAGGGTTTATGTTGTATTTATTTGATAATCTTGATGATCTTGATGTTGTGATTGATTATATGTGTAATCTTGTATTTTAATTATGTCTAGAGCTTGTCTCTAGGGTTTATATTGTAAATCTCGTTGTTATGATGTTCTTGGTATATTTTGGTGGGATTATGCTGGATCGGGTGTTAAGTCTAGCCTATGATTCATCTTTAGGACTTTGCATATAGATTTCGTGATGTTCTTGAGGTTTCGGAAGCTCCCAAACCGTTATATGATTAATGTTGAGTCTTGGCATGTTTAGGTATCGTGTTAGAACTTATTTGGAATGATTCTTGGTTTAATTTCCGTTAATTGAATCCGTGATATTGTTGTTGTGTGTTGGAATGTGTCTGGACATGGTTTTGGGTTCCACGAGAGATCCAGGGACCAAAAAGTTGCTTGTGTATTAGTAGGGGGGTGGGTAGGTGGGGGGACGAACACCCGCCACCTACCCGCTGCCCGGTTGCCCTCTCTCCAACGGGCAGCCGGCGGGCAGACGATTGCCCGCCGGGCACCTGCTGGATTGGTGAGCCGCCGCCGGCGGGTGGTCCTCCACCCGCCGCCCACCCTCTGGAAAATGGTTGTGGACCGTGATGTTTTCTCCCGTTTGTTGTTTCCCCGTGTCCCGTTGTGTCCAGTTGTACCCCGTTTGTCGTGTATGAGTCTCGTTTGATGTTTTGAATATCGTTATAGGAATTTATGTGTAGTGGGTGTTTTTGTTGTTATGTCTTGATTGTTATTGATTGATTATGTGTTGATTGATTGAACGATGATGGGTATCGTGGTCATTGCGCAATGATCGGTGTGACTAATGATGATGATGATGATGAGATTGTGATTGGTGGAAATGAATTGTTGGCGGATGTCACAACAAGTGCCCGGTCATTGTACTAAAGGTACAGACCTAGCAGTTACTGTGCTGAAGGCACGAACCCACCTTCGACTAGCTTGCCTTGAGCATGGGTAAGGTTATAAGTGCTGCGGTGCCATGTCGGGGCTATATGCGCTGACCCCTTGGCATTGGTACTAGAGGTATGTATCATGCGAATGGCACTGCGGCGCTATCATGATATGAGGTGATTGATAGGTGGTTGGTCGGTGGGGGCATGTAGTTGCCCGGAGGGATAAGGGAGGCGATATAAGGGTGGCCTGGAGGCGATATAAGGACGAAGGGGAGCCACAAGGTTGGAACTTGGTATATGGTTGGAAGATGGATTGTGTGCTTTGATGATTACTTGCTAATTGCTTGTCATTGGATCCCATTGTTGCCTTTAATTGCTATTTATGAGCTTACTTGTCTATTATGTCTTGTATTGCATCCTTAGGATGCATGCTAGCCTTTATGATCACTCTATGGTGTCAAGTCTATTGTTATGTCTTGTGTATTGATCTTGGTTTAAAGCTAGGGTCGCTTAAGATATATATGTATTCCAGTTTCAAAATGATTTCTTTATATCTACCTATATTGTACTTAGCGCGTTGGAGTGGGTTACCAGCATTGTTCGCTGACGGTTGTTACACCGCATGTTTTTCAGGTACAGATTAGTAGCTTGGAGTGCGCTAGTTGGATTCCCTAGATCTAGTTTGGATAGTCTTAGATTCGGTTAAACGGCCTGCGTGCCTTGATTTGTACTCAATTATGAATTTATGGATTTATGTTTGGATTAGTTAGTTTGGCCTGTGCATCTAAGTTCTCCAGCTTAGATGTGGCATAGAACCCCGACTATTATGTTTCGTTTATGCTCTGTTTGGGAATTAACAATAGATTCGCCTTTATTTTATAAGCTTTTAAGAATTTAAAAATTAGGGGTGTTACAGTTGGTATCAGAGCACAAGTTCGACCCTAGGATAAGGCCCCTAAGACATTTAAGGACAATAAGTTTGGACTCTAGGTACTTAAGTACATAAGGTCTAGGAAGTTTAGGATGCGCGGTGAGGTTGTGAGTTTATTTACCATCAACTGCTTAACTTCTCCCTAATCTATTCTGTGCTTAGCTTGAAAGTTTCCCCTAAAATTATAGCATCGAGGTAAGGGTGCGAATCCCTAACTTATTGTTACGATCGACGTTAATCCTGTAGACATCGGAATGGCGCCAACAAGAAATCAGTCGAGAACCCCTGAGCCCTCCACTCAAGATTCGCTACTCTATCTAAGGAGTTGGTTTTTAACCGTGCTTCGTCTCGACCAACTTTCCTGGAGTATACCTAAGGATTGTCTATCATATTTTGGTTTAATCTATTTGTTTATTAGGCTTTCTTGCTACTGTGATTATGTGTTGTTTGGTCAATTAAAGAGTAGCCACAACATCTTTAATTTACCAAAATTACATATCCAGTTTTACTCACATAAAGTTAAAGCAAGAACATTGTAGTTAACTCTGCGTGATATGGCAAAATTTAGCCCATGGGCAATTTTGTTATTGAATGTAAGGTTAATTAGGATGAAATACCATACTATGATCATAATTTGCCCACAGGGATTATGTATCGTCATAAAGTTTTGGTAGTTTTGTCATTAAGGGTGGAAAAACTAAAATCGCACCCATTCCGTTTCCACCATTTAGTTTTGGTAGATTCATTATGCGTAAAAATTTAGCTCACAGGCAATTTTTATGGCATCCGAATTTATCTTTTGCATAATTTTACATTGGTAATATTATGTACTTCAGTATCTCTCTCTATTTTTTGTGCCTCAAAAAATACTAACCAAACATTCAGTATTATTCTTTACAACAACTCTTCCTGTCACCCAAAAACAAACTATTAATGTTCATATCCTTAACTACGATAATCACAAGGAGTGGAAAGATGTTATCTCCTGCAATTAAGATTAATATAGTTGGATTACGCTGTTCTCAATGAGGAACCCCTTGAGGTTACTGAAGAAAGCCCTGGCATAGCCAAGCAGCTTCTCGCATGATGGGAGATATCCAATCAATTATGTGTGTTTTTCATTAAGTCAAGAATTTCCAATAAAATTCGTTATTGCATTGAAGACATTAAGAAAGCTAAGGCTTTGCTCAAAGCTATTAATGATAACTTCATTGACTCAAAGAAAGTTTTGGCAATAACTCTAATAATGAAGTTTAGAAATTTGCGTCTTTCCACTATCAAGGGAACGCGTGAACACATCACGCAAGTCAGGGACACTACAGCTCAATTAAAGAAGTTCGAAATCATTGTACCGTAGGGTCTTGTTAAAAGCTTCAGCAAGCCCATTCGCAGCTGCATAGTAAGCTGATGAATTTCGCTGCTTAAACTCAAAAAGCTTGCAGATCTTATCCATCAACTTGTTGTCAAAAGGTTTCCCATTATCTGTTAGGATATATCGTGGGATACGAAATCGATAGATGATGTGGATACGGAGAAAGTCTGCAACATTTTCTTTCTTCACCTTCTTCAATGCGACGACCTCTGCCCACTTTGAAAAGTAATCAGTGGCAGCTAATATGTATGCATGCCCTGCAGATGACTTAAGTGTAATTGAGCCAACCACATCAAGTCCCCAAGCGTCAAATGGCCAAGATGCAATTGTTGGGTGTAAGGTTCCGGTGGCTGATGGATAAAGTTTGCATGATATTGACAAGCTTGATACCTTCGAGCATAGTCTATGCAATCCTTTACCATTGCAGGCCAATAATAGCCCATTTGATTAATATGGAAGTGTAACTTTGGGACCGGATTGATGTGCACCGCAAACCCCAGAATGAGCTTCTTGCATAGCTTGTAAAGCTTCCTCTTCCCCTAGGCATCGGAGAAACACTCTATCAAAGGAACGATGATACAACGTGTCTTTATAGTAGATGAAGCGAGGAGCTCGACGCTTTATATCCACCCTCTTACGCGGATCTTCGGGTAACTTTCCATCGATGATGTAGTCAATCAGTGGTTGCCTCCAGTCGTCCTTGCCTATATCATAAACTGATGCAGTAGGGAGTTCAACAATTTCATCAACTGAGCCGTCTTCATTGAAGGTTGGCAGAACTATCCACCTTTGACATACTTGTACTCGGGTGGCAGGATGAGCAATAGTTGAAGCCAATGCGGCTAAGGGGTCAGCCTGCTTGTTTTCTTTCCTTGGTACATGTTCAATTGTGATGTCCCATAACCATTGCATGAGTATCCTTCCATAGTTGTTATATGGGACTAACTCAACCTTTTTCACTTCATATAGACCTAACACTTGGTTTATGGTCAACTTTGAATCTCCATAAATGTTAATTCTCAGTTGTTTCATGTTAGCCGCTATTTCAAGCCCAAGTATCAATGCTTGATACTCAGCAACGTTGTTTGAACATTGTTCTGTCAAGGTGAATGAATATGACAACACTGCACCTTCTGGAGTGACAAAGACAATTCCAACTCCTGCCCCTTCTCTATGCGAAGCACCATCAAAATACATTTTCCATGGGGGTAAGACCTCAATGACAAGCACATCTTCATCGGGCAAATCGTAAGATAATTCCCATTCAGCAGGTATTTGGTGATCTACTAGGAAATCAGGTAAGGCTTGCCCCTAGACAGATTTCTGCGGCACATAAACCATTTCAAATTGTTGAAACAATAAGTACCACATTGCAAGGCGGTCAGAGAGCACGACCTTCGCCATAACATACTTCACCGGGTTCGCTTTGGAAACAAGCCGGATGGTATGAGCCTCAAAGTAGTGCTTAAGTTTTTTTATCGCGAGCATAAGTGCCAAACATAGCTTTTCAGTTGGGGAGTACTTTAACTCGTTCGGGGTCATCATTTTACTAAGATAGTAGAGGGCATTCTCTTTCCCCTTGTCATTTTCCTGAGCAAGCAAGGCGCCCACAAAGCTGTCTTGGGTGGAGATATAGAGGATTAGTGGGCGTCCGTGAACAGGAGCGATTCGCACATGCGGTTTCATCAAGTATGACTTGATACTCTCAAATGCGTTCTTGCATGCTTCATCCCATATGAACGGGATACCCTTCTTCTTCAACCGACTAAAATGTTGGCATCTTCCTGCTAGGTTTGATATGAACCTTCGGATGTAAGCCAACTTCCCTTGTAAGCTTTTAAGCTCATGAAGGTTACTTGGCTCAGGCATCTTCATTATGGCGTCGATTTTGGCTTGCTCGATCTCGATGCCCCTATGTCGAATAGTAAACCCAAGGAACTTTTCAGTAGCAACCCCGAAAGCACATTTCAAGGGGTTCATTTTGAGTTGAAACTTCCGTAGGCGGTCGAAGACTTGCCTTAAATGCACCAAGTGATTTGTGCGCAATTTCGACTTCACAATCAGGTTATCTATGTAGCATTCAACCATTTTATGAAGCATATCATCAAATATTGTCTGCATAGCCATTTGGTATGTAGCACCTGCATTTTTCCAACCCTACTTTGTAACAGTAGATGCCTTTTGGCATTCGGAATGTTGTCAACTCTTCGTCTTCCGGCGCCATGCGAATTTGATTATAACCGGAGGATCCATCCATGAATGACATGATCTCATGTCCAGTTACGACATCTATCATTAACTCTGTGATAAGAAGTGGGAAGTCATCTTTCGGGCATGCAACATTTAGATCCCAAAAGTCTACGCAGACGTGGATCTGGCCGTTCTTCTTGCGCACGGGCACAATGCTGGATATCCAGGTTGGATATTTAACTTCATGAATGAAGCCAGCCTCTATAAGCTTGTTGACTTCTATTTCAATCGAGGGAATGAGCACGGGACGAAAGCGCTGATGAGCTCGTTTGACTGGACGGCACCCCCTTTTCACTGCCAAGCGGTGCACAGATACCTTTGGGTCTAACCCTGGCATCTCTTTGTATGCCCATGCAAAAACATCAATGTATTCCCTTAGCAATGTGATATAGGTTTCTTCATCTTCATCGGAGAGAAGTGCGCTAAAGAAAATAGGCCGAGGATTTTTAGGAGTTCCAAGATCAACTTCTTTTAATTCATCCACTGCAGCTCGTACCCTTCTTCTAACTCATGGGGTGCCTCCTCTGCATTTTCCCCCTCGATCGGGGTCTTGTAGCATAAAGTGATATGGAACGACGATTCCACCTCGCCCTGAGTAGTTGGTGGTACGTCGTCACTTGAGCTTATGCTTTCATCATTTTCTTCTTTATGCACACGAGTGTGTACAATGGTCTTCGGTTGGACTTTCAACACTTCACCACATGAAACATGAATGTATGTTTCTCGTCTCATTCGAGAAGGATTCATGCTTCTAAGCTTATTGGAAGGCTCCATTTCAACAGGAAGATGGGTATTGTCTTCGATCATGTATTGCCTTTCTCTTTGGGGCTTTAGGACTTGACCCCAGTCTATCAAAGACTGAGCGTCGAGAGTCCGCCTTACCCATTCGGTCGAAGACTGACTTCTTTTTGTCTTGCCCATTATTATTGGCAGGAGTGAGTTTTGGATCGTACTCACTTTCATCCGCGGAGATACAATTACTTGCAGCCCAATTTATAAGAATTCGCACTGGTTTAGGGGAGACATAGCCCAACCCTTTGCGCGTTTGAGGTTCTTGGTGATTGGCTTTGCCTTTACCACCGGCTTCTGGGATAAGATTTCCTAACTCCTGTGGCTCGTTGGGGTTATAGCCAGTTTTGGCTAGAAGCTTATAAGCGTTAGGGTCGAAACCCTCGATACGTTTGGTGGGGAATACTTGGCCCGCTTTATCACTGCTTTTCTCCTTGGATGATTTTGCTGCACTTGCTTTAAGTGTATCAATCTGTGCAAGCGGGAAGATCAGTTTTGTGTTGGGTTGATTTCCCTCTACAACTTGCTTTCCTTTTGACTTTGGTTGGAAAGGTGGGTTGTCATTGCTTTCCTTAACATCTTCAACAATGACTTGCCTATTAATGTAGAACTTTGCATTCGCAAAGTAAGACTCAGCTTCTGTGAAAGGGCTTTCATCGACGACTACCTTTTCAACCACGCCATTCTTTTCAAACATGAGGCATTGATGGCAAGATGAGGGTACCACCCCATTTTCATGTATCCACGGCCTTCTAAGTAACAAGTTATAAGATGTCCTCGCATCTATGACAAGGCAGAGGACACCTGAACTCAGGCTTCCAGTTCTTAAGTCAAGTTTGATGATGCAGATTGCTCTTTGCCCTCCTTGGTTGAAGTTTTATATCATTAGAAGACTTTGGGCAAGCTTATTTGTAGATTCACCAAGGTCCTTCACAGCTCGAAGGGATAGGATGTTGACAGTTGAGCCTTGATCAACCACAATTCTTTTGAGCTTTTACCCACGGGTATAGCCTTCAACAAATAATGGGAGATTGTGTGGCGTTCCTCCAAGTAACAAGTCTTCATCCTTGAAGGTAATTTCGGTGGAGTAGGAAGTAGCCCTATGCATTTGCACTTCCTCATCCCCGATGTGTTTAGGTTATGAACATTCACCTCCATCTTCCGACTTGTCATTTGTATTTAGGCAGGAGCTAGCAGTGTCTGCCCCTTGAAAATTAAATCCCTTTGGCATATATTGAGCCAAAGGAACTGGTGCACGTGGCTGCTTGACATGCCCCTTTGTCTTTGGTCTGCGGGCATGGCCACTTGTTGAGGTTTTCTCAACCCAACTTCTCGCTGTGTGCTTAGGATGTCTCCCAGGCTCAACTTTCTTCTTTCTATGAGTGATAATCACCCATTTTCCTTCAGATGTGTTATCATTTTGCCATGGTTCTGAACTTTGACCAGCAGCATGCTTAACAATGAAGGGGAGTGAACGTTTTCGTTATTTCCCATCTTCCTTTCCTCGAGGGTCGTAGGATCTTCTTCCCATGCGAAGATGGGTGGACGATGGTTCGAGACTTGACGAGCCACGTCTAGGTTCTCGTTCGGGGGTGGTCGGTTGTTGTTACATAGAATGGCGTTGCTCAGTGTTTGGGCGACCTAAGTCAACTGTTGTAGGTTCTGAGTTAGCAAATCTAGGGTGGAAGGCTCAGGGGTTCTTGACTAATTCCTTGTTGATGTCATACCGGTATCTACAGTATTAACACCATCATACCGGTATCTACAGTATTAACACCAATCGTGACGGTAATTTAGGGATTTGTATCCTTACCTTGATACTATAATTTACGGGAAACTTTTAAGCTAAGCACAGAATAAATTAAGGAGAAGTTAAGCAGATAATGATAGATAAACTCACAGCCGCACCGCGTGCCCTAAACTTTCTAGATCCTACGTACTTAGGTACTCAGAGTTCGAACTTAATGTCCTAAAGTCTTGTCTTAGGGGCCTTATCCTAGGGTCGAACATAGGCTCTGATACCAACTGTAACACCCCTAATTTTTAAATCATTTAAAGACCTATAAAATAAAGGAAGACTAATAATAATTATCCAAACAGAGCATAAACTAAACATAATCGTCGGGGTGTTATGCCACACCTAGGTTTGAGAACCTAGATGCACAGGCTAAGACTATCCAGGCAGGTGTGAACCATAAGTCGATAAACAAAATACAATCCATGGCACGCAGGCTGGCTACTGTATCTAGGGCTAACTAGACTAAGACTACGAGTCCATCTAGCGCGCTCCTCAGCTAATGATAATCACCTAAAAATCATATCGTAGCAATTGTCAGCGAATAATGCTGGTAACCCACTCCAACGCGTTAAGTAAAACATAGGTAGGTATAAGAAAATCATTTTGAAACCGGAATACATATATAACCTAAGCAACTCTAGCTTTAAACCAAGACCAGGACTCAAGACACAACCAAAGACTCGACACCATAGAACATTCATTAGAACTAGCATTCATCCTAAGAACACAAGGCGAGGCACAATAGACAAGTAAGTTCATAAATAGCAAATAGAGGCAACAAGGGGATTCAAAGACAATCAATTAGCAAGTAATCACCAAAGCACACAATCCATCTTCCAACCTTATATCAAGTTCCAACCTTTTCACTCCACTCCATCCTTATTTCAGTTCCAACATGTACCTCCAGGCCACCCTTATCCCTCCTTCCTTATTCCTCCGGAGCAACTTCACGCCCCACTCCGTAACCACCAACATGGTAGCACCGAAGTGTCATTCGCATAGTCTGTACCTCTAGTACCAATACCAAGGGGTTAGCGCATATAGCTCTAACATGACACCGTGGCGCTTATACCCTGACCCAAGCCTTTAGCCAGCAAGTCTAAGGGGTGGTTCGTGCCTTTTGCACTAACCGAGCACTCGTTGTGCTTTCCGCCAACAATTCATTTCGACCAATCACAATCTCATCATCGTCAGTCACACTAATCATTGCGCAATGACCACGATACCCATCATCATTCAATCAATCAACACATAATAAATCAACAACAATCAAGACATAATAACAATGATACGTACTACACATAAATTCCTAGAACAGTACTGTAACACCCCGTGTTACGGCCTCCGTATCCGGATTAATTATTTAATTAATTCTGTCACCATATAATCAAGAATGATTTAATTATATAAGAATCCCCATCAATTAATTAGCATGGTCCACAATAGACCTTGGACCCGTATCCTTAACTAAGTCCTTGATCCTATAAAGAATAGGATAAGTGGACCTTTACCATTCAGACCCTAGTTGAGATTCCTAAATCTATATATAGGGACTTAGGAAGAATTTAGAAACCCTACCACAATTAATCCTACCACACAAGATATTCCCGAAGAGAAACCTATAGAGGTATCCCCCTGCCACCAAACGTAGAGGAATCCACTGGAGGGAAATCTTAGAGAAGAACCTTAGTAGCCAAGGATATTGTTTAGGGCTAAGAGGTAACCCTTGTATCGACAAAACCTATTTTCCTTGCTATATCTTATTCATTGGCTCCTTTGATATATGATTATGTGTTTGAGTCTTGATAGAGCTTTGCCTAGGGTTTATATTGTGTTTATGTGATAATCTTGATGTTCTTGATATTGTGATTGATTATATGAACGATATTGTATTTTGATTATGTCTAGAGCCCTAGGGTTTATATCGTGAATTTCGTATTATGATGTTCTTGGTATATTTGGGTGGGATTATGCATGATCGGGTATTGAGTCTAGCCTAGGACTTGTCTTTAGGACTTTGCATATAGACTTCTTGGTATTCTTGTGGTTCGGGATGCTTCTGAACCGTTATATGATTAATGTTAGGTCTTGGCATGTTTAGGAATCGTGTTAGAACGTGTTTGGTGTGATTCTTGATTTAATTCCGTTAATTGAATACGTGGCATTATCGTTATGTGTTTGAATGTGTCTGGACATGGTTTCGGGTTCCACGAGGGATCCCGGGACCAAAAGTTGCCTGAGAGTCAATGGGGGGTAGGTGGGGGCAGGGGTGCCCGCCCCCTACCCGCTGCCCCTTTGCCCACTTTCCAGCGGGCAGCCGGTGGGCAGGCGATTGCCCACTAGGTACCCGCTGGATTGTGGACCGCCGTCGGCGGGTGGTCCTCCACCCCCCGCCAACCCGCTGGAAAATTGGTGTGGTCCGTGATGTATTCCCCCGTTTGTTGTTTCCCCGTGTCCCGTTGTGTCCCGTCATATCCCGTTTGTCGTGTATGAGTCTCGTTTGGTGTTTTGGGTATCATTCTAGGATTTTATGTGCAATACGTGTCGTTGTTGTTGTGTCTTGATTGTTATGTGATTATGTGTTGATTGATTGAATGATGATGAGTATCGTGGTCATTGCGCAATGGCTGGTGTGATTGCACTACAAAAAATCACGGGAATAGCGACGGACGAATTCCGTCGCTAAATAGTAAAAATCCGTCGCTAAAATGTTTAGCGACGGAATTTGTCCGTCACAAAAACCATCGTCGCTAGAATCTAGCGACACAATTTATTTCCGTCGCTAACTTTAGCGACGGAATTTTCCGTCGCAAAACAAAAAATATCCGTTGCTAAATTTCTTACGACGACGGATTTGAAGACAAAATTTGTGAGCGAATAACGACGAAATTTCCATCGCTATATCTAGCGACGGAAATTCCGTCGCTAAAATAACAAAATATCCATCGTTAATTTCATACTACAATGATCTTGCGACGAGATTTGCAACGGCATAGCGACAGAGTTTTCCGTCGCTATATACACCGACGGACATTTCCGTCGCTAGTGTCCGTCGTTACTACAGATCTTTCCGTCGCTATTTCGTTGCCTTACTACAATATTTGTCCGTTGCTAAATTCTAAAAACTAATAAAATAAATGTACCCACCAATTAATATCACAAACCTACATTAAGCCTATAATACAGT